GTCACGTGATCTCGCTGACGCAACAATATATTCAATTCAGGTGCTTTTCTTAAGATACTCTGTGCTCTTATCAACTGGATTTCGAAGTTACTTGGGGCATCTAGTCTTCTTACCTGGAGACGACGTGAAATTGAAGAGGACGCACGAATGTGTCAAAACTAGTCTCTCCTACATCAAGACTTCTGAAAGTTTGTTCCATTTACTGTGTTTGTTTTTTCACCACTTTAGAGACCTTACAAGGCACTCGCGCAAACCAAAATAAAAGTAAATATTAATATTATTAAGTAAATATTAATCACAGGTTTAACTATGAAAACGTATAGAAGTAAACATACGTTTTCATGCACCCATTTTTCCAATACTTATTGTTTATTCGTTAATCTAGATTTGGGAAACAGACAACACGTAAGTGCAAACAACGAGTCACATTTTAAAGCTGATTTCTTGGTGAAATCTGAATTCTGTGGTTTTGGGTAGGTGGGGTTTATTTAAGTTGTGTCTGTGTGTTTTGATTTAAACCTCTTTAATATCACGATAAGACTAGTTCTATCTATACAATTTATTTAGGCCTTTAGTTCTCAAAGGAGTCAGATACGAGAGTGTCCCCCATATGAGTTTACTTTGATATGTGACTCGTACGTTTATTGATCTAAGTATTATTTCCTTCTATAAATGTGAAACATCGTGGTTTTACTTTGTAAGAAAACATCTTTATTTGAGCTATAGCACCGATAAAAATCGCTTGAATTAGATTTATATTTTATTTCTTGTATGAAAGTCGTTTCAATAAATTAAAACTTACCTAAGATATCTGGTAGTTCACATTCCGGACTAGTTTTATCTTCGCTGTCACTAGATGGCTGTCTAATAATGTTTTCAGTAGGCGATATTGACTGGTTTGAGGGATCTGGTGCAGAGTGCTGACGTATCCAAGTGTATGGACGAGGAATAAGAGGTATTGAGTCGACTTTGTTTTCTATTACTTTTACTTCACCAACTAAATTAACCTCGTTAATACCGTCGCCATAATGTTTGTAGTTTTCACATGTATCCAGTGCTAGGTCAGAATCAACCTGATATTTAGAGAAAATATTATAAATAAATTAGGCATAAAAACATAAATCGATGAAAATAAAGGGAAGGGAGAATAAAGTGATGTGAAATAATTGAGGAAAATGCAAGGATATGTGAACGACAAAAAGAAGCGAGAAAGATTTTGTTTGTTTGTTTGGAATTAAGCACAAAGCCACACAATGGGCTATCTGTGCTCTACCCACCACGAGTATCGAAACCCAGTTTCTAGCGTTGTAAGCGAGCAAGAGGAAAGCAAGTTAAGTGACTAATAAAAATAAAGGCTTCTGAATATGACATTTGTAGGATGAAAAGTTTAATAATAGAACAGACTACAGGACTACAGTTATGACTTGAGAAACATCAGAAAAATTGAATACTTACAGAACTGAGAGAAATAAATACAATATAGAGCAGGAATATAAATCAACTCAGAAAAAAGTAGCATCCTAGAAAAGCTGAGGAGTGAAGTGTAAAAGGTTATCAGAGAGCAACGAAGATATAAGGTTTGACAAAATAAAGTGAAAATCAGAAGACATTGTAGGAATCATGAAAAAATAACAGAGTTTATAGGATGTAGAAACAGTTTTGAAGAACTGGACTGGAAAAAATATTATAAATACTACTAAATAAGAATAAGTAAAGGCGTAACATTTAGAATAAATCATATGATAGTAAAAGGCTATGAGGGGAGAAATAAAACTGCAAAATTAACAACAGAAAGAATGAAAAAGTGAAATGGGTTTAGAGAGAGAGAATTGGTGGATAAATAGTGCATTGAAGGAATAACTAATGTGGGGGTAACTGATTAATGAAGATTTGTTCAGCGGTAAGTCTGAAGGATTGTAATGCTGAAAAACGGATTTCGATAATCGTTGTGGGTACAGCACAGATAATCCATTGTGTAGCTTTGTACTTAACAACAAACAAACCAACCAAGAAAGATTAATGAAGATTAGAAAAAACTGAAGGATTCTACTGAGGATGGGTTAAACTCGAGTAGACAGACATGCCACATGGAATAGAAAAGTTTCAGAAGTAGCAGAAAAACAAAAATCAAACACACACATGGATGAGAGCAGTTTCGTAATATAGAGTAATTGTTATATACTGAATCACCAAATCATTGTGTATTCTTTTATTAGAATAAAATAGTGAGAACTATTGCATTGAAAGTTAAAACAAGAATTATCCTAATTTTTTTTATTTGAAACAATAGAGAAACGAAAGTACAATATTTTTAAGTCAGTTAAAAGTGAACTAACGATATCGCAGTAACATAAACCAATTATAAGTATAGTTCAGAAAAAAATATATATATAACCGTGATAGAAAAATCAATTTGAAATTGGCTTTGTTTTTCAATTTAGCTTTTAATTTTGGAGGACATTTTTTTTTACGCCTCTACAGTAGTGTTGCTAAATTTACATACAGCTAACATCTATTAATGAATTTCATGTTTCATAGCTGACATTATATAAACGACGTTATTAGTTATTATAAAGAAGTAGAAAGAGAACAGTTTCTTGAAATCAGTCTTAACACAGCATTTTAGTCTCTACATATATATTTCGTCTAGATAAAGGATTGTTGTTTGTTTGTTTTTGAAGTTAAGCACAAAGCTACACAATGGGCTATCTGTGCTCTGCCCACCAAGGGTATCGAAACCCGGTTTCTAGCGTTGTAAGTCCTCAGACATGCCTCTGTGCTACTGGAGGGGGGGGGGGCTTAGATAAAGGAAAAATTATTCGCGTTACCTGAAAATATGAAATTAATAAGATGAAAACAGTGTACAAGTTTAAGCAGAAGGAAATACATCATTTACCAAACGAGAAAAACATCTTGAAAAGTACGAGTTAAAATAAATTGACTAAACAGAAATAGAGAGAGGGTTCATTTTAAAATCTAATTTTTCATTTTTTAATAAGAAATTTGAGAAAAGCTGAAAATACAAACATTAAAGTTTCTTAAACTGTTCTTCATCTAAAATTATGTAGGTGACGCTACAATATGGGATTTCATAAGTTATTCAATTACGAGTACAAGAAGACTGCCTAAATTACAGAACTATGTTTCTACTGATTATCACTTGACATTGCAGAGGACGACAATTATTCAATACATTTCTGCTGCATAAAACAGTCGTCTTAATAATACTTTACAATCTCGCTTAAAGAGTTTAGTTTGTTTAGTTGCTAACAAACTACCACTTCTTATTAACATTGTTTTGTGGCTAGCAGGGATGTTCATCAATATTACCACCCGAGAGTCTAGTTTAAGTCAAGTATCAACTGTCATTAGCACAACTGACCCCCCCCCCCCGGTAGCACAACGATATGTCTATGGACTTACAATGCTAGAAACCGGTTTTCGATACCCGTGGTGGACAGAGCACAGATATCCCATTGTATAGCTTTGTGCTTAATTACAAATAAACATACAAACAAAGTGAGTGTATAGAAAGGAGAGTAATGATAGCGGTATAAATATGAATAAAAGTGTGTGTGTGTGTGTGTGAGAGAGAGAGAGGTTATCTATTTATCCGTTTTACCACCCAAATTCTCTATTTGTTTCCTATTTTGATATTTCTTTGAACGTACATCTATTTGAGGTATGATTATCAAGAATCATAAACGAAAATGTTTTTAAATAGGCTTACGGATAATCAAACTACCTACTGTTTTTTACAAAGAAACATTTATTTCTATAAATAAAAAAATCTCAAATTAGGAATCAAAAAACAAAAGATCATTCTTTAATGTATAAAATTTATGAAAGAGCATATTTTCAAGAAAATTCATTTCGAAAAGTAATAAATATAACGTTCAATTTTTACTAACAGCGTATGTATTTGAAAATAGGCCCAATCATTTCACTTTATTATATTTTAACTTCTTTATGGTTTGTCGTTAGGTGGTGTTTATGAAAGAATCTAACCATTAGATATTTCACAGTACAACAAACATTTTATCGTTGCTTAGGAACGGGAAACTAATTACTTCATTCATATTATTTTTTATTGGAAACAGCAGATTTTAGGACACTTGGATAGTATTATGTTGGAAACACCAATGTGTGCGCACATATTGTCGTTGATAGGATTGAATATTCAAATTGAATGCATGAGCTGTTTTGTTGGAATAAATATTTTCAACGCTGCATTGCACGAGACACTTACACCAATTAAGTTTATTTAAAGCTCTGACACTTTCTGTGTTTCACTCTCTATCTATATGTATATATATTTGTATGTGTGTTTTTACAGAAAGTGTGTTGACAAGCTGCTTTAATATTGACGTAAAATATTCAACTCTACATTTTCATCTATATTTATTTTCCCACTTACCATATTGCTATAGCCTTTCATATAATGGTCATCACAGTTTGTCAAATGAGCTGTTTCTTCTTTACTTCCGGTCATCCAAGTATTCAGCCATGTCCAGCCACCCAATATTCGACACAGTCCGTAAAAGATGGCTATAACTGCAGCACTGATGCAGATGAGTATAGCAGCAACAGCTAAATCCTTCATCATTTTTATAGCTTTAAAAGCAACTAAGTTGAAACAAACGAAGCTTGAGGCACTGACATTAAGCAACTTGGTTTTAAGCTTCAGATCTCACCTGCCATAAAAAATATTTTATTTTTTTGTCAGAAAGTAACAGTTTTTTTCTATCTTTGTTGTATAACTAAATAAATCAAGTTTTTAACATTGTAAACATTTCCAGAGATTTTTTTTCTACCAGGGATCATCAATGATGGAACTAAATGATTATTCAACAGTTTGAAATATAAGTAGTTTTTTGTCAATTAAAAATTAGAGATTCGTCTTTGGGTAACGTGTGTGATGAGACATTACAACAAAATAAATGAATATTTAAAACATAAGTTCTCCTATCTGGCCTAAAAGTTGTTTCTAATAGAAAGAGCACATTTTAAATATTAGAGTTTATTGAGCCCGTTACGTCAGAGCCGAGAGCGCGACGGACTGTATGCCTGGAATTCTATGGTTTGCGTCACGCAAAAAAAAAAAGATCCATCCATCAACACCCGCCGCCACTAAGGGCCTTTTCCAGCTCTTTGAACCGAATAACAGGATGACTGTCACTTTTAAAATTCGCGTACAGCTGAAAGTGCGGAGTGTGTTTAGCAGCGTCACATCTCGAACCCTCCACCCTTTGATCCGCAGTTCGACATGTTAGTCCGATATGTCAAGCCCAAGTTGGAAACTAATTAAGCTAGTTTAAAGCGCGTCTGCCATTTGGCAGGAGGAAACTAGGGGGGTTTGAGAACATGTTTTTCCGGAAAATAATAAAAACGAGAATGCCAATTTGGTCCTGCTTTGGTGCAGCGAGAGCCATGCTACAGTTGAAATGAGCGAAAAAAAAGAACGGTGTCATTGTGAAAATAAGCATTTTAATGGCCGTCTGTTTTTCTCCTTAAACACTTTATCTTATATTTTCGACATTTTTATCCAGCTACCTATTCATTTTAGAACTTTTTCCTAGTTGTAGTGAATCGTTATGTTAGAATAACGTGATAAAACTGTAAACCTATTAAAATATACGGGGGGAGGGGATCGAAATAGGTGTTCAACCCATATCAAAGATGTCCACTACAGCTCCGACACCTACGTGGTAAAGCCAAAAATAATTGTTGAGTTTTCTACATTTATCATCTAGGTTTACGGTGTTTATCACTCTGTGTTGGCAAGTCTGCATGAGTATATCAGACGCTCAAGTAAGAAAGAACAGCACCGGATCATTCTTGAAGGCTCTGGTTGTACCATCCAAAATCGTTTCGTGCAAAGAGGAGCAAATGTTCAACTAAAAACGCTCATATAAAAATAATTTCTGGGTGATATAAATAAAAAAATAATAAACTTTAGTAATAAGAGTTCTTTATAAACATAAGAAAAGAAATTTAACCCTAGAATTGATATTTTAAATAACTTGTCTAAATTGTTTGTGGGACCATGACTTTGTTATTTATAGAGCCCTTAGTAACATATAAGTCTTACAAAAAATTTTAACGAAAATACAATCAATACTGCAATTAAGTCCATTAATTCCCGCTGTTTTGTTTTAATGTATTTTACTGTAACAGACAAAAGATAGAATAACTCGATATGAGAGACCCGACCTTTTTGTGAACTTATACAGCTAATCAGTAACTTGAGTGTTGATAATCATCGATATTTACAGAATTATTAAAATACAATGATTGTCATTAGGTTTAAAATGTACAATAAGTAAGAAAGAATTCCCCAAACTTTAACAATTAAATGTATTTTTCTATTTTATGTTAAATATCCAAGTTTTTCCACACACACATCTGCTTAGATGATAATAGAAAGTTACACAAATAGTAATACTAAAACAATATTAAACTATTTTAATTTTTTAAATTACTTCTAGCTCTGTACCAACAACATGATTTTGGGAGCACTTAACCTAGACACATACGTGTACTACTAGGTTGAGTTTAAGTTGCTTTGCACTCACACTTTGGAGATATAGCTATTACCGCTGCGATTATTTCAAGTTATTCGGTACATAATCTACATCAAAGGTGATTTTACGCTATTCAGTACAATACAGCTATAATAAAGTTATACAGTTCGCCGTTGCAAGTTCATTTGTTAATTTTGTACTATTTATGGTAGGGAGAAGATGACAAGTTACGCCAATTTTTGGACTATAAATTAAATATATCAAATAGAATAATATTTCCTAACTCGTTAATTTCACTCTTTTTGACGTTTTCCTTCTAAGGATGTTCACTTAAGTTTTCTTGACATTCATACAAGTTATTTGAAGTTAAATCTAATACTAGGATGTTTTACGTACATCTGCTTCTAGAATAGCTTTATGATATTTTCTAAATATAACTAAAACGATGTATCTACAGTTAATTCAAAACAATAAAACAAATAAGGAAACATAGGTGAATTATATAAAAGTACAACTTTATTTGGAACCAATGTTTAAAATAGTTTTATTTAGATTATGGGAAATTAGTAGCACACAAAGAGTGTAATCTATCTTTTGCAACTCAGGTTAAAGCTCTCATCTCATTGGTCAAGTCTGTAACGTATTGCTTTTCTATATATTGAATTAGTTATTCATATTGAACTTTGAGAACATCCTATAACGTTTTAGCTATCGGAATAAAATCTGTCTTATCAAATCGCTAGTGAATAAAATAAAAGTTTACGTACAGAAGGTTAGCCTATTATATTTTTAACGCATAAAAGGGGACGTAAACTAACAACTACAAGCGATATCACATGGTACAAGTAAGATTCATATCCCTGTCGACACTGAAAAGACAACAAAGGCCATGTCGACACTGAAAAGACAACAAAGGCAAACTTCACTATTACAACACGACAAGAAGTTTCTAAAGAAGCTGGTTATCTATCTATATAAATAAACGTATTTGCTTTGGGACTATTTTCTGACCATGGAACAGAAAGCTTTGTTGAAACTGTAATATTATTATCGACCAGAGACACTTGAGTGATTTATATCCACGAAGACTGGTGAAATATGCTGGGGAAAAAGCTAAAGTTATACAAATGTTCTCGGATGTTTTTCTCTAATTCAATGGACAAAAGAAGCAATAAACAAAATCGAGATTTTGTGAAGGAAATAAAATATTGAAAAGGGAGCAACAGAAAACATAAACACTATACTTTATTTATTCAAAAGCATAATAGTAAGATTCACTTAAACATTTCGTCACGAGTATAATATACATCACAAGTCTAATATTAACTAAGAAATGTTCGCCACGAGCGATATTTTATTCTCAGAGTACACAGTACTAATGATAGCATCCAGGAGTTATACCTTATGAAGTATTCTAGTCCTTGAACTTTCGTACTTCTAAGAATACAGTAGCATATGGAAGTTCTACACTCTAAAGTTTTGTAAAACGTCTACAACACTGTGTTTATATGTTAGCTAATCCGACAAGTTTGTCTTTAATTCCTTTAATCGTTACGGTTTTTCATTTGAAATATGCTAACCAGAAAAATCACCACACTTTAACATCTATGGTTTTGTACTTCTTGGAGTACATCACCTTATAGATTTGATATAGTTAAAGTACACATGTCTCTATAGTTTTATATTTCTTGTAATGTAAAGTTTACATTAAAATGAGAAGATAGAAAACACACGATATGGCTACGTAACACAGGTATAAACTATTTGCATATTAATTTATTACAGATTAATACTCCTAGTTTAATATATTTTCAAACGTAAAAAACACACCCGTTAAACTTCACAGAGTAGAATCCCAAATTCTGAAGTTTCTGCAAGAAAATATTCAATTATTGACTAAAACATTGATCTGGCAAGCGTTTTGTTTTATACATTTCGTAAAAACAAACAACAAACATGATAGAATATATTTGTGTTACAGTTTATTTAATTTATGGTACAGCAAAAGTATTACTGTAGAAGTTTTATGTTTGTGCTCTGTCCACCCAAGCTATCGAAACCAGAGTTGTAGTGTGAAAAACCCTCAGAGGGCCAGGTCTTATAAAGAAGATATTCAAAATTTTATTTGACGTCAGCAAGCATTTCGCTGGTTATAGATAAAACACTTAATATGATATTATTATTATTCACTTGTAATAGCAAAAAAATGCACTTTTCACATAATGGTTATATATCTTTTAAGAAAGAAATTGTAGAAAGAAATATTTTTTCTTTTATTTAACTGTTAATCTATTTCTTTCTTTATCTTCTTTGATTTATTCATATGTTTGTATGATCTGACTCATCTGATTCTCTATCTAAATATTAATCTATTTGTCTATCATTCCTATGTTTATTTCTATTTAACTCTGACTACTCTTTTAGCTGTATGTCTAAATATTTTTTTCGCTCTATCTAGCTGTTGATCTGCTTGTGCTTTTCAGAAACAAATTTTGAATTAAAACTTATTATTTTATTTTCACGGACTCTAATAAATCGGAGTAGCTTTAGCTGTCTTTAGTATTTAGGTGGATTTATACTTTTTTTTATAGTGTAAAAACATTTGAGGCTATCTAGCCTTTCTAAAGGCGTAGGCTTGGCATGGTCAGGTGGTTAGGGCGCTCGAGTCGCAATCTGCGGGTCGCGGGTTCGAATCCCCGTCCCACCAAACTTGCTCGTCCTTTCAGCCGTGGGGGCATTATAATGTGACGATCAATCCAACTATTCGTTGGTAAAAGGCTAGCCCTAGAGTTGGCGATGGGTGGTGATGACTAGCTGCCTTCCCTGTTGCCTTACACTGCTAAATTCACAACAGTCTAAAGGCGCATATAGGTCACTTGGATAAAATTCTCTGTCTAGCGATTAGTGTATCTGACTGGGTATCCGTAATGCAACCAAACACTTCTTGACTGTTTTTCTTTGTTAAGCGCAAAGCCACACAATAATACACCATCACGAGCATCGAAACCTGGTTTTTAGAAGTGTGAGCCCTCAGACTTATCGCTGAGACGCTGTGAGTGTGGAATAAGAATGACAGTCAATCCTCTTTTCGATCGAAAGTAGCCATTTCAGACGATAAGCACGCTTTGTCCTCAGCTAAACTGAGAGCTTTTAATGCTCGAAAGTGCAGT